TCTTGGTCCATCTATCCAGCCTGTCCAGGCCTTCAGCAGAGTGCCATGGGCTGCAAGTCTCAGCTCAGCCCCACATGCAACAACCACCTCCTACAACATTAGTGCTATGCTGCAAAAAGAGGGCTTTTTGGCTCTAACCCCCTCAGGTGGACACGCAGCCCGAGCTGCCGTTGGGCCAGCATCCTACTCAAGATCGCACCGTCCCTGCCACCTCACAGCCCTGGCTGTTCAGTATTGCCACCGGCGTGTGTGAGCAGGGCTGGCGGCATGACCTGGATTCGGTCTGGGCTGATCTCACCCCACCTCGGCATCTCCAGAGCTTCAGCAGCAAAGCTGCGGTGACAGAGGAGATGCAAGGTATCGTGGGGCATTTTTGATCGAGAGTGATACGCAGGTTTGCAAGGGGGGGGAGAAGTAAGAAAGTGTCACACCAGCCGATTAAATTTCTATGCGTTACCAGCGGTCACTTCTCCAACTCGTCATGGACGGTGCTTTTTATGGAGAGTGTAAAATTAAAACAAACACATATTGAATTACAAGGCCGCTCGAAAGGTAAAAATAGACTAGCAAGTAACTCAAACCTCAATTCAGCAAAAGCAAAATCACACACTGAGGTACCCATATGTTTTACTGAATCCAGGCAAAGGAGTCAAAAAATGTCGGTCTTGCACTGAGTTCTGCTATTTCAGGCTTTATCTTTAAATCTGAACTTGGTTGCTGCTATAACTTCTAACCCACTGTTGAGTCTCAGCTTGTGCTTTTCCCACAGGTTTCCTACCAGGAGGCAATTCAGCACTCAAAGTCCTCAGCTTTGTGCACCTGCCCTCCATCTAGAAGCATTCACACACTGGAAAATAAATAATAAGATCTCAGGAGCATGTTTTGCACTGTTTTTTAAGGTTTGTGATCTTTAAACTAAATTTATGTTTGGTTTTTTTTAAAGGCCCTGTCATACAGCTGTGCTGGGCTTTCTTTGGATCCATTACCTACAGTTACTTACTCCCTGACAGCTACTTCTTCACCTGAAGACAAGTAGTGGTTACAGCACTGAACAAACATGAGTTTTCAAGAGCTGGGAAGTGTCAAAATCATCCAGAAAGACTAATGTAATCACTACATGGTTGATTTTGCTGCCCTCAAAACAGGCAAAATCCGCACTCACGTCACTGTAAGTTTTATGTCGCATTCTGTGGTAGGAGGCATCTGATCTCCGATATGCATTTCTCTTTGAGTTTTACCCATTGCATCACATTATTTACTTTTTATATTATGTCACATAATCGTGTATGCCAACAGAAGCAATAAAAGAAAACGATGTAAGGATTAACATTTAAAGGGGCACATACTGTGGATGACTAATTTTAGATTATGCACCCAGTGCCTGATTTCTGTGACAGACAGTGTTGAGCTTTGGGAGTTTTAAGCATGCTGCAGATGTCTGGAGAATGGGCAAGATTTTGCTTACTTTCAGCTGGGCTCAGTGAGAATATTCTGCGGCTCCATCAAAATATAGGAGAGTGGTATTACTGTCACATCATTCAGCAAGACAAGGGAAGTGGTGGCAGTAAAGGCAGAGCTGCGATATTCCAGGCTGTTAGATTTGTCAACAGGTAAAGGGAATATTGAACAAGACAGACGTAAAATGGGACAGGGGAAAAGGGGGATTTTTCTTGGTGAGGAAAGATCTTGCACGTTCACATCCATGCATATTTTCCACGCACGCTCTGGAATACTGTACTCGGTGGTATAATGATTCTGTTTCCTGGCGCACGACATGGGATGCATGCGTCAGACATCCTATTTTTATCTTTTTCTCTGTGTAACACAGTCCGAAGCTCTTCTCTTAATAACTCAGCGGCTGAGTATGGGTGACAAAGGCTGCTCTCGGCTACGGCATTCATAATAAAGGATGTGCCTTTCCTACCAAGCATGCTTTGCTTGGCAATACATAGATCCAAGTGGAAAGAGTTGGACTTTCCCCTGCTGTGAAAGTGTAAAAGGACTTAGCTGCAAATAAGGATCAGGTACACAATGTTTCTGAATGAGTTTTCCTTCCCAAATAAAGGTGAGGATACAGCAGTTGCCTGGTTTAGTACAAAGGAAAGATGCAGGAAAAACTTAAGTATGCAGATAAGACCTCTGTGGTCAGTGTTTTTGGTTTTGAAATGAAGGTAGGTCATATTCTCTTGTTCTGACTGAACACTGAATACTCTGATCTTCTCCTGTTAGAGCAACACTGTTAAAAACATTTGAACTGGTTTCAAATTATATTTGCATTTATATTGTCTGAAGCTGCTAAGATCAAAATCAGATTTAATTGGGGGCCTGTTTAACACTCCTCTAATTCTATCAAAAGCAATGCAGTCACTGGTAATTAACACCAGAGCAGGGCCGATCACAGTTAAGCTCTTTGTTACCTTTCATCATCTTATGCAAGAGCCAGGGAAAGGCTGCACTGGCTGGGCGACTGCTCCACCGCACCAAACTTTCCCTGGGATTCCTACCTCTCTCTGTCATTGCTTTCACAACACCCTCTCCCACCAACATATCTTGATTCTCACCAGTAGATCGCTGCTCATCTTGGCGCAGGGTGCCAAAGCAAATCCCAGCCATTCCCGCGGGAGATGTTCTGCGCACTGTGCATCAGAGCTCAATGTTTTCACGTGTTCAGGTGCCGCAGTGCTGAACATCAGGCATTTTCTGCCAGCAGCCAGCAAAGCACGAGGGAAACACCGCTGTTTCACCCCTCACAGCCAACACTGAACCGCAAGGTATTACCTGATTCAGTCCTACAGTGATGATAACCTGAGGTTTATCACAGATGTGAGCATACCCAGCCTGCTTGGACTCCAACTGTGTGCCTGGTGTCTATCTAGGAAATATGGCAATCAGAATTAAACAGACTGAAAAAATGATGACCAGAAGGAGGTGAAGTACTTTTAACACCAGCATTAAGAAAAAAAAAAAAAAACACCTCCCGAAACTTCGCTATAGTCACCGAATTTTGAGGAATTTTTGCAAATGTCACGTCCAATAACTCAAACACTATTTCAGCATCGGTTGTTACTCCAGAGTCTGTGAGGAAAACGTCTATTATTTAAGCCACAACATTTATTTTAGGAAACGCAGCTGAAATATTCTGCGTACTCCCTTCCAAGTGCTTTATGCTTTTGGCATGCCGAAGCATCTGTTCAAATGCTCAGAAAGGTACCTATCATAACAAGGAGCCCTCTGTGCCTGGAGAGGCTCCTGGAGGTCACCGAAAGAACGGTCCCATTCTGATGGGACACACCAGCCAGGTACACCCTCTGCACGCACCCACGCCATCAGGAAAAAGGGGAGCTACACTACAGAATAGTTTTTAAGTGGACTTATTGGGAGTTCTGGGAAAAGACTGCAAAAAACCTACAGCGGTGCATTCCTCCAGACTCTGACTTTTTAAGTATGTTAAATGACCATAGTGGCTGATTTAGGGCTTAGCCTGTCCCAATGCATTCAGGGCAGAGCTCCCACTAATAGCAAAGTGGGGCATGACCAAGGACTTAGTATTCACCCTCTAAACGAGTCAGCAGCTTGTGCTTGAGAGTCTCCCGGGTACTAGGAGCTGCATCCTTAATGATAATGATGTGCCACAAAAATCCATACGTAACGTCCATGTCAGCGATGCATCTACAAATGTGCGTGCCTGTTCTTTGTATGTTTGGTATGTAATAAAGTCAATAAGTAAATGCACCCATTTATGCCTCTAAAAATAGTCAGAACAATATCTAGATTTTCTTATCCGACCATGTTAACTGATGGTCATGCCGCTTGCAGCAGGCCCCGCAGTTCTTACGTTCAGCAATGCCTTACATGTCCATCTGTCCCACTTGCATTTCTAGAACTGTTCAAGGAATACCCTGAGCCAGCCTGGAGAGAATCATTAGATTAAACACCTAGTCTGGGGAAAGGGGGTTTCTTTCCCCTTTTTCCCCTATCAACGTTTTGGAATGTAATTCCAATGCTTTCAAAAAGTTCAAACAGGATTAAAATCTATAAAACAGTGAAATTTTTGAAGTAATTACTGCTTGTCTCTTTAAGCCAGAGCTTCGGGAGCTACACACCAGCTTTATTGTTAACTTCTTCAAGCAGGGAGGCGGTTTTTTTCTTACAGTAACTGCACATGATGAATGATAAAATGAAACTAATTACCACATTTTAAAAACGCACCTAACATACAGCCTTCAAAAAATAACATCAGCGTGTGCTCAGTGTCCTGATTTTTTACAACCAAATTGAAGATCAAACTGTTTAAACTACAAAGAAAGTGCACAAATATTTTTGGTATTGATCTTAGCTGTAAGCACCAAGCATGCATAAAACCAGGGTCATCAATCTGATTTTTAAGAAACACAATTTACTTTTAGCTACCGCGTAGAAGCACTAGAAGACGTAAGCCGTTGCATCACGGATTTGAATGGGAAGAGGGAAAAGTTGGTCTCGCAGGCAATGCCTGTCACATGAAGTGAAGACCAGGGCATCTATTCTCATGTGCGCTGCAGAGATCCTGCCCGACCTTCACCTGGGCAGCCACCGACCTGCCCTGCCTCCGTGCTCCTGGCCTGAAAACGCCCAGAGACCTGCTGCTGAAGGCTCAGGGAGCCAGCAACCTATGGATCTGGGAAAAAAAAAAGACACAAAAAGACTGCCCTCCTCATCACAAAATTCCCTCCACCTATTCCACCCGGTTTTAGCTCCGAATTCCTTTGCTAAGGGAGGCTGGAGGAAAAAAAACCACACCTCAGGTACCCTGAGGCAGGGGATTGTAGAGCATTATCTCCCAAACCAAAGAGCCTAACACCAAGTGCCATGGGAGATGGTTTATTGACTAAGCAGGACTCAAACCACCCCAGACTGCTCCAGAGGGAAGGCGGGCCCCCCTCCTGCAGATCAGTGGGTGCAATGTGGGCCCCAGGGCAGCAGCAGGAAACCAGCAGGCAGTTGTACTCTGTGCTACAGAGTGGGCTCCAGGCAAGGGCTGGTAGCCCCCAGGTGACAAATGCAGGACCCCATGGGGCGAGGAGAGGCCCTGGTCGTGCTGATCCAGCCAGACACACAGCATCCACGGGGCACCAAAACCCACCACAGTACCCGCCTCACCGCGGGGTCTCACAGCGTCCCTGTCTCTTTCCAGCTGTTTCTCTTCACAGAGTCACAAAATCGATTTGGTTGGAAGAGACCTCTGGGATCACCGAGTCCAACCTTTGCCCTAACACCACCATGTCAACTAGACCATGGCACTAAGGGCCACGTCCAGTCTTTTCTTAAACACCTCCAGGGATGGGGACTCCACCACCTCCCTGGGTAGCCCATTCCACGCTTGACAACCCTTTCAGTGAATAAATTCTTCCTAATATCCAATCTCCCCTGGTGCAACTTGAGGCCATTTCCTCTTGTCCTATCACAAGTTAGTTACTTGGGAGAAGAGGCCGACCCCCACCTGGCTACACCCTCCTTTCAGGTTGTTGTAGAGAGCGATCAGGTCTCCCCTCAGCCTCCTCTTCCCCAGACCAAACGCCCCCAGCTCCCTCAGCCGCCCCCCATCAGACTTGTGCTCCAGACCCTTCCCCGCCTTCGTTGCCCTTCTCTGGACTCGCTCCAGCGCCTCAAGGTCTGTCTTGTAGTGAGGGCCCAGAACTGAACACAGCACTCGAGGTGCGGCCTCACCAGTGCCGAGTACAGGGGGGCGGTCACTGCCCTGGTCCTGCTGGCCATGCTATTGCTGGAAGCTTCTGATGAAAACAGTTGTAAAGTTTGTTCAGTCCTATAAATGATGGGGTTTTTTTGACAAATGTTGGGTTCTTTCTAACCACTCTTCCCCCAGCCTGTAGTGCTGCATGGGGGTTTTGTGGCCGAAGTGTAGGACCTGGCACTTGTTCTTGTTGAACTTCATGCCGTTGGTCTTGGCTCATCTACCCAGCCTGTCCAGGTCCCTCTGCAGAGCCTTCCTACTCTCCAGCAGATAGACACTCCCACCCATCTT